AAAAAAATTTTTTTCACTGCTTACCGTGAAATCTTATCTACAAATTGTACTAATGAATTACATGTATGGAAAATTAGAAGGAAAGGCTTTTGGTAGCTTGACATACGTTCTAGATGTTGTTAAGTGCTTGAGAATATTCAAAAGGTGTTTCGATTTCGAAAATGGAAATGAAATATAAACATCTGAAGCAAAACTTGTGTGGGTTGCTCGCGAATGTTTTGGTAGAGGTCCAATTTGGGGTCATCCAACCTGGGAGAGTTCTTAGGTATTCGAGATTTTGAAGTATTTTTGAAAAAGGGTTGGTACGAGTTACTCACTAGGTAAAGAGTAAAACGAACTCTCCCAAGTGACAATAAGCTGCAAGTTCTCAGTTCTCGTTCGAGGACGTTCTTGGTCACTCCATGTTTCTCACCTTCCTGGAAACATGATTTTAAAATAACGATATGTGGAATCGTAATAGAGATTAATAATGATGTAAAATCAAAATAATTCGGAACGGTACTTCGCTAAGTGGTGATAACCTGCAAGTTTTCTACCCATAAGAGTGCTTGGTTCCTCCATGTTTTTTTTTTTGGCTTTCTGAAAATGCAGTTTTGATTGGACTTCAAGGGAACCTCTTTTTTTTTNTTTTTTTTTCTTAGCGATAAAACACAAGTGATTTGGAAGTAGTAGAATGAATAATAAAATAAGGTATGGAAATGAAAAACGTTTGGAATGGTCACTCATCATATTATAAGCCTGACATGGCTAACAAAAAATCGAACATGGCTAAAGAACTTTTGGGAAACTGAAAGGATGGGATCTATGCTAATAAAATTTTCTTGCTTCACCATCCCCTCTTTCCCCGTTTGGGTGTGATTCAACATTATTACGTTGTCGGGTGGTTTTCGAATGTCTTTGGAAAGTATGAACATTAGGGGTAAGCTGATGGATAGGGATATTAGGTTAGAGGAGTTACGTAGTAAAACGTGTCACGTATGGTGCGCGATATCGTTTCCTTCGACAGGACAGGACTATCAGGATGTGGAAAGCCTCAGATTTTTTTCCTTTCAATTTAATGTTATTCAAAACTCATTTAGTAAAGCTCATCTAATCGATTATTAAAGAGAAATGATACATGGAAGGTTGGAGCTTGAATAAAGCTTGATGCTGGATTTTTTTGAATCAGATTAAAGTGGTTTAAGGAAACGATAGAACTCAAGGAGAGCCCTTTTTCTGGTATGGGTCTACTCTTGCAAAATAAAGGAAATGGATGTTTTTATACCAAAGTTCATCTGAACCAGCACGCTCAACACGCACATTTGGTCACTATGATATCCAAGTTTCCTTCTAAGAGGGTAATATTTAATTAGTAAATTTTTTAAGAGGGTTAAAAATATTTGAAATAAGGACTTAAAAGTTGAAAAAAAA